ATGATATATATGATATATATATGATATATATGATATATATATGATATATATATATATATCACAGTATTACTCAGCCATAAAAAACACATAATTTAATCATGTGTAGAAAAATGGATATGGAGATCACGTTGAGCAAAATAAACCTGACTTAGACAAGTATCAAAAGTTCTCCCTAATATGTTGAATCTAAAAAGATGAAAAGAAAGTAGAAAGCAGACTGTTATTAGACAAGATGAATTGAAGAAGGAAGAGAGAAAGAGGGTACAAGGATATATAAAAGGGGGCATGAACATGATCAATATACATTATATATGTTGAACCCCCCCTCACAAGTGAAACTAGAGGGGAGGGGGGCAGAAATGATTCAAGTATGTTATGCACATGTACAAATTTGCCAAAATGAAACCTATTAATCTGTATAACCAATATGCACTAATAAAAATGTAGGAAAAGTGTTTTTAAATGCTATTTCCATATTTAAAATACTTATGATTTACTTGATATTTTGAAATGCAGTGTCATTAGAAAGTAGTTAAAAGATAATAGTAAACCATATATAAAATACAAAGCATGCTTATACTACTTTCATTTATCTTTTCTCATTATTTTAGAGTGTTGTAAATATTACAACCTTTATGCTATTGCAAAATATATGCATGAATATCTAACTGCATCTAAAGTGACAGAACATACTGAAATATTTTGTGATGGCTGGCAAAATTCTATGTACTACTAATAAAGAAAAGATCATTCACTACCACTTGTAATTTAACTCTGATGTGCACAAACAAATGGTGTATGTATATGTGTAATGTACACAAACATGCACATAGTAACATTAACACTGTATGATTCCAGGAAAACTTAGTATACTTAATTTTAGTTAGTACCAATGAGTATATCATAACTTACATAAATGATGGAGAAAATATAAACAATATTCATTAGGAAAAAAAGTATTCCAGTTACTTACAATATCACAAAAATGGAAGCCTTTACTAATTTTAATATTTGTAGATGACAATACTTGTGTATAATGCTTTACACAAATTACCTTTTTTGTGAAAACACTTAAAATTTATGTATATTTGAAGAAATTCAAACTCAAATCATTTTAAGAACCCAAAAAATCATACTGAGTACCTAGTGCACAAAAATAACTGAGGGCAGAGTCACACTAGCATGGAGCAGAAAATCCTTACCAATTTTTCATCAACTGTTATAAGTTGCGTGTCTCGAATTTGGTCCTGCGCCAACCTCCATGTGGATGTGCTCAACAACCTGCAGTGCGAGACTTTCAGTTAAAAAACGATCCAAGCAATGAAAAAAGAGAAGCAGACAAATCTTACATAAACAAGCTACTTTAACAATATCTGTCTTATTAAAAATAAAAAAAGAAAGAAAGAAAGAGAAGAGGACACAAAAGTCCTTTTTCTCCCCAATTAGTTCTGTCTGCTGAGTTTTTGGCAGACTCTCACTTGACAGTTCACAACAGGCAGCACTTTATGTCGCTCTACAAGTTCTCTGTCACAGAAAGGCCACCAGTGACAAGTACTGAGCTGCTCTCTATGAGGGTACAGTGGCTGGTTTGTCATGACCAGCTAAAAAATGCAAAACTATATCAACTGTTCTGGAATGCTGATTCCTAAATGATGGCATCAGAAAGGAGGAAAAAACAGTCACAAGAAAAGGTCTCTTCACTCTAATCTCAAAGCAAAAGTAGCTTAAATACTAAAGATTTATATAATTATTTTAACAAATGTTATTAGCTTAGTCCTATATCCTGTTCACAAAATCAGATAAAGTCAGGATGATTAAAACAGAAATAATAAGTTGGAAATAAAATAAGCAAAGAATCTAGCTTCCTATATATTAGACTCTTCTACGAAGAAATTACTTAACAGGCTATTTCATGTACAGTTTGTCATTTATACTAACAAGTGTCATAATAATACCTGATTGTGACAAGTTAACACTTTCCAAATTACTGAGGCAGGTTGTGCAGATTCCTCAAAAGTCATATGGTTCAAACTTTCAAACCAAACGTACAGCATTTACTCCATTCTTTGTTATTAAACACAATACACTCATTATCACTACCACAATTTGATGCAATATGGTCTCCAACTTTATGTTAGAAGTTAAACTGTTAATAACTACACATGTAAACAGTTTTATAAGACACTTACTAATAATTTAAAGATAACTAATAACACAAAAGGACTTAGCTTTAGAAACATTTTTGTAAAAATCTATCAATTCATTGCCCAATTTCAGGTATTATACCATTTTTATCATTGTGAATGCCCCACTGAAACGCTTATCAACATAAAAGGCATTTACATGAAAATTACTTACAATTAAAATACATTTTCCAGTTAAAATATTAAAGTATAATAAAGTGCCTTTCAAATTTATTTTATTTGAGAAATTAAGATCAGTAACGTGACAATAAAAATGTTAGATACCTTTAAACTCATACACTGAAAGAAAAACATTATAAAAAAAAGAAAAACATTATAAAGCAATGAAAACTCATGAAATTTTAAACATTAGAAAATATAGCTATTTTTTTCTAAATACTTTCTTTGAAACTTTTTTGGTGGGGTACCAGGAATTGAACTCAGGACCCCATGCTTGCCAGGAAGGCAGTGCACCACTGAGCTAAATCTCTAGCCCTTAAATAGTTTCTTTAATGAAGAGAAATCAAAATAGTACAAATTATTAGATTAAAACTGTAAAGTCCTTGGGCTGTGTGATTTTAGGCTACACAGTGGATTTAAGCAATTATCTCTTAAGTTGTATTATAAAATCTTAAAGTGTACATTAAATGTAGCCCACAGTAAATTTTTTAATTTATAAAATTATATGCAATAGCTATGTTTCAATAATTTTAGACACATCTCCAACTACTTTTAAGAATGTAGCTATATATGATCTTTTGTAAATAGATATAAAATTATCCCCTATTTTTATACAGATGAAAAATTATTTTTCAAGCTTTATGTAAAAAAGTAACACAGTTTTGAAAGACAACAGTAAAATAATGCTACCAGAAAGTTCAAAATTAAAACTAAAATTTTTGTTAAGAAAAACTTTTAAAATAGGCTAGACTGCATAGAGTTAAGGAGGGCTTCTAATTTTTATTTGAAACAAGGTATAATTTATTTATTTATTTATTTTTTAACTCTCATTTTGTGATTTTTGTTGTTGTTGTTGTTGGTTTTTCTTTTTGTTTTTTTCCCGGTTTTTGCGCTTGCCAGGCAGGCACTGTGCAAGTGAGCTAAATCCCCAGCCCCCAACAATGTCTAATTTATTTCAGAACAAGTACTAAAGAAAAAAAATATATAATATGTGTCTGTGTAGATCAGGCTAGCTTTTTTGCTAAGTAACTACCCTTAAACAAGAATTACAAAAACCAAATCTCAAATGTGGAGAAAAATTTTCCTCCAATTCTAGATAAAACTGTAAGAGAGGGCCAGAACCAATGATGAACTCACTAGAATAATAGGACTACGGGTATAGCTCATACTTGTCTAGCATATGAAACCTTAAGCTCAATCCCCAGTATTTCATAAAAATTTTTTACCTACAGTAAATTTTAGATTAAGTATGGGTTACAAATCAAATATTTGCTAATTAGCCTATAAAAAATCACAGCAGTGAAATAGTATAAGAAAATATTTTTATAATAGCAGAGGAAAAAAAACTTCATTAAATAAGAAAATACAAAAGGTAGGAAGCATAAAGAGAAAAATGACTGAAGCTATTACATAAATTCCTAAATTCCTAAAACAAATATCCTATAAATATAGTGTAACAGATGACAAGGAGAAAATATTTACAGTAGGGAACAGTAAGAGATCAACATCCAAAATAGGTAAAAGAGTTTCCACAACTTAGTAAGTATGGGTCACTTCTTAATTTTAAAAAGATATTCAGAAACAACAAATAACCCAAAGAACCCAACTACATATAGGAGAAGGACCTGTATTGACATCTAAAAAAGATATACAAATAACAAGTAAGCACACAAAATGATGCTTAATTTTACTAAGAACTAGGGAAATGCAATATTACTAAGAACTACGGAATTGGTTATGAAAAAACAGAATACACATGTTGACAATAATGTAGAGATATTGGGGCTGGGGATTTAGCTCAGCGGCACAGAGCCTACCTGGCAAACGCAAGGTCATGAGTTCGATTCCTGATACCGGAGAAAAACAAAAACAAAAAACAAAAAAACAAAAAGAATGTAGAGATATTACAACCTTTGTGGGAATGCAAAGTGACACAGCTATGTGGAAAATAGTACGGCAGTTTCTTAAAAAATTAAACACAAGATTACCGCACAAGCCAACCATGTATTACTGGCTATATAATCTAAAGAAATTAAGGAGAGACTGGGATAGATACTTATATGCCAATGTTTATAACGGTATTATTTAGAATAATTAAAAGCAAAAATAGCCAACATATTAATAATCATATTTTCACTAGGCAATTTATAACACTAACTGTACATGTAGAAATAATGGTAATTATACTTTGCTACTTACTTTTTCCTAAACAATTTGCATTTGTAGTGAACAGACTTTTACTTGACATTATTTCCTAAACAATATAGCACAACAAATACTTATGTAGCATTTATATTGTATTAGGTATTCTAAGTAATCTAAAGATGATCTACAATATATGGGAGGATATGCACAGGTTATATGCAA